GAGAAAAACTTCAGTGAATAAGAAGGACGTAGCTGGCCGTGCCTTCTCCCTGAGATAGGACTCACTGAATAAGAGGAGTGGCTTGAATCTTTGGACACATAGCACGGTGATGGTCATGGCTAGTGACCTTAAAGCCTCTGCAGAGAGTGGCAGTAGAGGGGATCAGCAGACATGGAGGGCTGCACTGGCTGGCAGTGAGTGCAGAGAGAAAGTGATTGACTAGGAGCCATCTTGGAGACAAGCGGGCTGAGCTCAAAACCCAGATCTGCAGCTGGCTCCATTTATCAGCTCCCAACTTGTAAACTGCAGAAATTGCTCAGGTGGCAGTGATCCAAACTCACTTAATCTCAGGGAAGGCCTGCTGAGATTATCCACTACCTTGCCAAAAAGCTATCATTGGCTTGCTGGAATAAATTGACATAATTTGGGACTCTTGTCTACACAGACTATCTACTAGTGAAACCAGAGAGAATCCTGGAAGTGGATGCTTGCTTACTCTTTCTTTCTTTCTTTCTTTCTTTCTTTCTTTCTTTCTTTCTTTCTTTCCTCCCTTCCTTCCTTCCTTCTCTCTCTCTTTCTTTTTCTCTCTCATTGTTTCTACATGAGTGTGAATATGGTTCCTAGCCTCTTTGTAGATGTGGTTATGTTCTGTTGAAGAACAGAACAAAATCACTATCTCTTCCATCTCTCTTTTCCTTCAGTCTTCTGCAAGTTTCTCAAAGTGGGTATGATCCTTCTTTGTCCTCCAATCTTACTTCTAATATCTTCCTCTTCTTCCACTTCTCTATTTTCTCCTTAATCTCTTTTAAATTTTAACCTTTGAGGGAAAAATTGACACATTAAGGCTTTATACACTGCATATAGTTTTCTGGATTGTTTTACATTTTGCTATATAATCATAAGTCTGGTTCATATGGCTAAAAGTGGCAGATTAAGGATCAGCTCAGTTTGTGGCTTTCTAGGCTGTGTTTGATGCTATTGGTACCACTATAGCCAAAACTGACCCTATTGTTCAATATTTGAGCAATTATTGCTATTGGTCCTGGTATTCCATCACTGAGACTGACCAACAATCACAGAAAATACTGTGGCACAGTGCCAAAGAACCAGGGACTAGGACAAACAAGCAAGTTCTCATTTCCAACAAACTGAAGACATAAGATCTTCTAGCAGACTCAAAACCCAAAAACCAGCCACACCTGAAAGATACCTCAGTGAACAAGTCATCACTTAAGGGTCCTAAACACTACCATTAAAGCAACCCACCATAGGCATCTTCCAAGCATCATCCCAGGAATTAAATTTTAAAAAGAGAAAAGAAAATGAGAAGACACTTGAGCAAAATACAACCCCAGACATTCAGTTCACCAAAGGTAAGTCTAGCAGGTAATGAGATGGGACAATCTGAAAGCCCCCATCAGGCTTCTCTGACATGGAACTACAAAGTCATTGAATAAGGATCTGGAAAAAGTGAAATTAGAAATAATCTGAAATAACTATAGAGATTACAAAATATATACCATACTTAATATACTTACTATTAGAGCAGACATAGACAAAAAAATAGACAAGTTTAAAAAAATTATGGAAGCTCAGCGTAATAAACGAATAAAATACATAAATCTGATTCAAGCAGATATCCAGGAAAATAAAAACTCTATTTAAAGTATTTGAAACAGATTAGGAAAATGTGAGTCAGGATCTCAGATACTGAAGACAGGCTTGCAGTTACTGACCAGAAAAAGAAGATTTCTCAAAAATAGCAAAGTACCATGAGAAATCAATCCAGCAGCTGCTAAATGAAACAAAGGAGAATAACTTAAGATTGACTGGAGTCACTGAAAAAAGCAGGAGTTACCACAAGGGACATTAAAAAATGTTCATAGACATTATGACAGAAAACTTTCCTGGAAGAGTGGAAAAGAAAAAGAATTTCACAGTCAGATAAACAAGGCATATGCAACTCCAATTAACCATGATCAAAAAAATCTACAGCCAGACATATCATAGTCAAGATTCCAGAAATTCAACACAAGCATAGAATCTTTAAAGCTGTTAGAGAAACAAAACAAATCACCTATAAAAGAAAGCCCATCAGAATCAGAACTGACTTCTCAGCACAAACTCTCAAGTCAAGGGGAGCTTCGAGTGAAGTACTCCAAGTTCTAAAGGAAAACAACTTTCAATCCAGATTGATGTATTCCACCAAAGTATCTTTTGAAACTGATGGAACAATAAGACATTTTCATGATAAAGAACATCTGAGGAAATTTAGGACCACCAAACCAGCACTCCAAAATTTTCTTAAGGATACTCTAGAAAGAGATAATAAGGACTACAGCTCCATGAACCCAAACAGAAGAAATCCACCAGGGAAGGCAAACAGTTATTGGGAAGGGGAGAACAGGGAAGTAACATGACAAGGATAAGTAAGTCAATACATATCAGTTATAACCATCAGTGTTAATGGTCTCAGTTCACCAATCAAAAGATACAGACTAGCAAAATGGATCAAGAAGCAAGATCCAACAAAATGCTACATATAAGAAAGATATTTAATTCAAAAGTAAATTCAAATCCTGTAAGTCAAAGGATAGAAAACAATACTCCATGTCTTGTCAGACATGGTTCTTGTCAGAACCCAGAAAAAAGCAGGGGTAACTATTCTATTTGCAGAAAAAGTGAATTTCAAGCCAAGACTGATTAAGAGTGATAAAGATCATTATGTACTATGTCCTCTTAAAGGAAACAATCCAAGACAAAGAGATAATAATCATAAATATATATTCAACAAATATCAGTGTACCTAACTACATAAAATAATTAATGGACATGAAAAATCAAATAAGCCCTAGTACAACTGTATTGAGAGATCTCAATAACCCAGGGTCACAAAAAGACAGATCAACTAGACAAAAATATCAATAATAAAATACTAGAACTAAACCAGATTTTTGAACAAATTGACTTAGGAGATATCTATAGACTGTTCACCCCATAACATCAGCATATACATACTTCTCAGCTGCACACAGGACATTCCTGAAAACAGACCATATACTGGCTCATAGAACATGCTTAAGTACATGCAAAGGACTGAAATTATCCCTTGCATACTATCAGACCACAGTTCAATAAAACTGGAAATCCATGAAAAAAACTACAAGAATTTCATAAACACATGGAAATTAAATAACACCCTACTGAACAACCAGTGGGTCACAGATGAAACTAAAGATACAAATTACAACAATACTGAAACTTCATTTCATTCCAGAAAAAATGGCTAGTATCAAGAAATCTAGTGGGGCTGTGGTAAAATGGTACTCTTCTGCACAACTGGTGGTAATGTAGACTGATGCAACCACTGTAGAAATCACTATGGAGATTCCTCAGAAATCTAGGACTATAGATTCCATTTGACCCATTATTCCCCTTCTTGGTATCTTCCTGAAAAAATTAAAAATACCATACCACAATGATATATGTGCACCCATGTTTATAGTGACACAGCTTGTACTAGCTAAATCTTGGAAACAGTTCAAATGCCCATCATCTAATGAATAAATAAAGAAGTTTTTTTATACAAAGTAAAATTATTTTGCAATAAAGAAGGGTAACTTTGAGACATTTCTAAGTAAACAGATGCACTTAGAGATCACGCTGTTAAGTGAAATAAATCAGATACACATAGGTAAATACTGTATTGTTTCTCTAATGTGAGAAACCAAAAGCGTAAATAAGGAGCAAAATACATAATAGACACTGGAAACAGGAAGAAAATGTTCAAATGGAAATCGGAACAAGGGAGGGAAGAAAGGAGGAAAGGGACAAGGGAAAGAAGAAATTAGAAGGAAAAAATGGAAATAAAGCTTTTATAAATAAGGAGGGCAAGAGGTTGTTGAAGGGAAGGAAAGGGAATAGGGGGGAAAAGCAAGATGAATTACACACATATACAAATTCCCCATGATGAGTGCTATCATTATGAAAAGCTAAAACGTAATAAAATTTTTAAATTAATTATATCAAATAAGAATAATGTAGCAATGTGAAAAAATAACACTGATACAAGCATTTTCTAGGAGCTTATTCACTCAGTGCATATTGTCCTACTAAACCTTAGCTCAGAATGACCAGGTGAAGCAGGACTGCTACTAATTTCTTTTATATAGGAGAAAACTTGGGTACTGAACATTTATGTTTTGTCTAAAGTGTTTCAGTAGCAGGATTCAAACCTTGATTCTTCATTTCAAAGCCCCTGCTCTATACCACCAATCCATGCTACCTCCATTATCGAGAAGTTAAAACTGGGGATTTAGCTCAGCGGCATAAGCGCCTGCCTTGCAAGCAGGCAGTCCTGAGTTCAATCCCTGGTACCGATAAAAAGGAAAAAGACAAAAATTTAAAAAAACAAGTTAAAACTGCAAGGTCCTCAGTTCAATTCCCAGTACCCAAAAAAATAAGTTAAAACTTTCCTTTCTTCCACTGTGCACAATATCTGGCATGCATTTAGAGTTGAGCTGATTGCCTAAAGAAAAAATCCTGTTTTCTTCACCAGATTGCATTATACCTATCCCAAGGAGGTCACGAGACACCCAAGAGCTTTGTTTCCTGCTTAGGTAAAGTGAGACACCCCTGAGCTCTGCGGACATCCACCTGGAAGAGAATCTAAGAGGCTCAGGAAAGGGCTGGAACTGAAGTTGGTTAAGATCATAGACTCAAATAATGCATTCCATTCTATATTCTCATGCAAAATGCTGTCTCAGGTGTGCAGGAACAGGAACAAAAAATAGGAACTGTATCTCACTAAATCTCATCTCCATATTTAGCTGGCTTCTAGCTACACTTCGTGTGTAGTTATGAGTTTTATAAATGTTGTAGTACTTCACTGAACCCAACAATCAATCCTTGAATTCCTTGGCCATCATAAGCAAATGTTACACATGTAAATCTTCTCCTTTCAAAATTGGATATTATTCATATTGAACACTTTCCATCACCTGTAGCCGTGTGAGACTGTGACACAGGATAGATTCTTTCCATCCTAAGAAAAGGATTCAGACGCTTTTCCCGTTGCAGTGGAAAGACTACTTTGGTAATAGCATTGGTGATTCTTCTCCATTCCAGGATCAAGCCTGGTAAAGGATGCAATGCCTTTAATTTATTCAAAACATCCTGCCGAAGAAATATAATAAAGTAAGACTGGACTCTTATTCAAATTCTGTAGCAAACTAAAATCTTTAGGTAGAAAATACAATCTCAAAGTTAAATTTGATAACCTCTATACGCACAAAAAAACTGTGATTGATAGTCTATAAAATGCAAAAGTGGTGATGCTGAGTACCATCAATTCAGGGTGAATTGTTTAAAATCAATAACACATCAGTCAATGAAGTAACTGTCTCCTGCACCCTGTCAAGAATTTATATCATCTTTTTTTAATCTATTTCCTCCTCCACTCTTTCCATGACTCCTTTCTTGTTCTGATACTTAAATGGCTCCATATTGAGGAAATCAGGAGGCATTTATTTTTAGATGCTTCATGTTTCTATGCTATAGACTTCTAAGAAACTAATAAGGAATAAGAACTGGTGAGGTGAAAGAGAGAGACTATAGAAAAGCTGAGCTAGAGAACAGGGCTGGGGACACTTTCCATGAGAAGACAAGTTACAGTTCATGGTTTAAGAGTCAAAACTCTATAGAAGGGCAGCGTGGACATCTCTCCTCATTAGCTGTGGCTGCATTTTCTTTCCTTATTTTTCTAATGAAATTTCAATGAAAATCGGACATTAAACTCTGTCTTCTTTCTGACTAATACATACTATTTGTATGGACTGTCAGCAAATTTCCTTTGAAAATAGCAGATTATGTTCGTGTGTGTGTGTGTGTGTGTGTGTGTGTGTGTGTGTTTGACACAAGATCTCCCTATACAGTTCACGATGCCCTTGGACTCACTTTGTAGCCCAGGCTGGCCTCTAACTTGCAACAATCCTCTTGCCTCAGCCTCCCAAGTGCTGGGATTACAAAAGTGTCACAACACCTGGCTAAATTGACAACAGAGGTTACAGTAGAATTGTACTTTTTTTTTGGGGGGGGGGTACTGGGGATCAAACTCACAACCTCTCACTTGCTGGGCAGATGCTACTGCCACTGAGCTATATCCCTGGCTAATGTTTAATTAATCTTTTTTGTACTGGGAATTGAACTCTGGACCTTGTACTTGCCCGGCAGGGGCTGTGTGGCTGAACTAAATCCCCAGCCTTTATATTAACAAATTCATAGAAAACTTATTATTTCCCTCTGGAACTAAAAAAAGTATGCTTTTCTCTATACCATTCTCCATGTAACTATACAGATTTCATTATACTGGAAGACCAAGAGTAGTGGCTGATGATCATTAGATAATGTTAAGGACTTTATTTGTTTTACTGCTAAGAAAAATGTAACTGCTGATGCAGTTAATGGTCGTGATTTTTAATGCCCAAATTTTGTGGAGTACTGAGCCACAAACCAGTTTGCTTGCTTATATGTGAGTAAGTTGGAGTGGTGGGCTGTGTTAGATCTTGATTTCATCAGCATTATTTTGAGACATTGAAATGCTAAACACACCTAAAACTGTGCCCTTTAACTATCCCAGAATGTACCTTGCTGGTGCTAAATCGTCTCCCGAGCCTCTGCTTCTGTGCCCGCTCACTGCCTCTTCTGGTAGAACCCAAGGTTTTCTTGCTGCTTTGGATTTTCATCTCTCCATCTGGTGGCAACTTCAGTTCTAAAAACAGAACCTGCAAGAAATTAACGTTACTTTATTCAAGAATCAAATTGTAAGTACTGACCTTTAGAAAATATTTTTAAAAGTTATTTGAGAAAACAGTCTGCAGTTTAACATAGGATGGAAGAAAATATTTCTTTGGCCAATTTAAAATTATCAGTCTTAAAAAATGATGGTAACAAAAATGTATGTGTCAGGTTAAGCTATCTCTACCCTGATCTGGGCACTATTAAATAATACTAACACAGCTTTTCAACAAGAAACAAGAGCGTGTACATGCCATGCTGAGCAGCTGGCAAATAGGCTTGAGATTTGAGGAACCTCTGAGAATTATGTGCTGTCCTAACTGCCTCCTGAAGTGATAACCAGCATGGTTGCTTAAACATTTAACCCCTATGGAATGTCAACACAGAAACATGTGTGTCCACCCAGTGATGACAAAATCACGTGTCACATAAGGAAGGAACGGTCTGGAAGCTACCAAGTTCCCCTACCACAATCCTGGATCTAGCAGTTCCGAGATACAACAAGTTAAGAGCAGGTACAATCCAAGGTGGCCATAATGAAGATCAGAGAGTGGTAGGGAAGCACCCACTGAGGAAGCCAGGCCTTCAAAGGGAGGCACCCAGACTCTGGGACAGAGAGAAGACCCCTACAAACCTCATCCTAAGGCAAATTAGAGGGGTCACATGCCAGCCAATTCAGAATATTGCTTACTGTGCCTTTTCTTTCACTTACATATCTTGAATGGGTTTGAACGAACCTTGGATTATTTTGCAAATATTAATTCTGAAAATTAACATCATTTGCATGATTAAAAGATTTCTTCCCCATAAATTGGATCAGCCCAGGGAAAGCTATGTCTGTGCCTCCCCAAGAGGACAGTGATGACAGAAAGATCTGACTCCAGTTTACAGTTAGAGGTGGTAACAATCACAGTCTTGGGAATCAGAGGTATTATATATCAGGGATTTTGATAAGGATTTAGCCGTAGAATTGTGTTACATTATGAATATATGCACACACAGGGATTAGGGCTGCCACATTTAGCAAATAAAATTTCAGGATGTTTAGTTAAGTTTTAATGATATGGAGCATAACTACACTAAAGTACTATCTGTCATTCATCTGAAATTGAGATTTAAAACTGGGCAGCCTATGTTTTTCAGAAAATCTTGGCATAGATATCAAAGGTATATGAATGGCAGGAGGACAAAATGAAGTAGCAGGGAAAATGGACCATTACTAAAGTAAACAATAACGCAATAATCCCAAGTAGGGAGATTTATGAGTAAGACAACACAAACATTTCGAGTTACTATTTAGCAAGCTTTTGAGGTATATAAAAAAAGCTTTAAGAGTCTCTCTAAGTTTTTCAGACTGGCCTTGAACTTGACATTCTCCTGTCTTAGCCTCTTAACGTGTTTTAGGTTTTCATGTTAAAATAGAGGATTCCTGGAGAGGTAATTTCAATATAAACTTTTATTGTTGTAAAAAACAAGTTTTCTTCAGAATTAATCATGAAAAGTCCATATACAAAATACCTTTCCAGGAAACTTTCATTCGACCACGAAGACCTAAGAAAGAGCCAGTATAACATTAAAAGCCATCTGCTTCAGCCTAGAGTTTGGTCCGGTCTGTGGTACATGGTATTACAAGGGCACAAATTCCAGGATTGGCTCCACCCTTGCTTGTGCTAAAACCCAGAGCTTCTCTATTTTTGGTAAGTTTCCTACATACTTTTATGTGAAATCAGCTAAGGATTCACTTGAAGACATCTGGACTAGACATTTCAAAAGGTAGCACACACATGCTGGGCATGCTGGTACATGTCTGTGATCCCAGCACTCAAGAGGCTGGGGCAGGAGGATCACCATGAGTTCAAGGCCACCTTCAGTTATATAGTGAATCCAAAGCCATCCGAACTACACAGCATGAGTCTGTTTCAAAAAAAGCAAAAAGTACACACACAGCACCACCAAATTGCACTGAATTCATCAATATACCACATAATTAAAGGAATAAGATTTAGTTTTCAATAAAAAAATGTAACCCTGGTTTAAAACCAGGTACTTTATAAGCATTTATAATATGCCTTGTGTGCTTACTATGTGATGGTCTCTGTTCTATGCATTTCACTGTTATCATTCACATCTCAAAAAACTCTATTTGCTATATATATCATGACCTCACTTTACTGATGAAGAAACTAAGTCACAAAGTGTTGCTGCACTGGCACAAAGCCACCACCTGGATCCTAGGTGGAGGAGGCGGCACCAGTACCACACTCAGCTCTGACCACGGCGGCCCCTCCCACAGGGCGCATCAGTGAGTCCTCTGGAAGACAAGGGGCAAGTGTGCCCGACCCCCTGCTAAGGCAGCCCACCTGCCGCTGCAGAAAAGGGTGGGAGTGAGAGGAGAGCCTGCGGTATCAGCAGTGAAAATAAAATACAGGTATGTGTTGTCGAAGTTTACGTAGGTGACAAAAAACTAGGTTTAAAAAAAAGGAGTCACGAATAGTCATTTCTTTGTTTGCATCGCAGAAAAATATCCAGTTTCCTACCCTGAACAAAGATGTGGGCAGAGGCCAGGAAGGGGTCATGACAGGACTAACTCTGCAGGGGCAAGCTACCCTGGTATGGGACTGCAACTACAAATTATTTGTTCAACAGACAGATGAGCTGTAATGTATGTAAATGTTTACATGTGAAAACTATTATGGTAAAAGAACAATTCCTTTTTATTCTATTTCTTCATCCTGTCCTCCATCTCTCAGAGTTCCTTCCCTCCCACAAAAGATCTGTCTCCCCCATTCCTATTATCTTTTGTTCTGCTCTTTGTTTATACTGTGAGTTTCTCATATAAGAGAAACTATGCAATATTTAAAATTGTGGGTCAGAATTATTTCACTTAATATTATGGTATCAAGTTGAACCCATTTTCCTAAAAGTAATCAAATTTATCTTTCTTTGGGACAGAGCAGTATTCCACTGTGTGTAATACCACATTTTCTTTATCTATTCATCTGTTTAGAAATAGGTAGGCTATTAGTTGCGCTACTATAAACATAGGTACACATATATCATTGTAATATGTCTTTTAACTCTTCTGGGAGGATACCTAGGAAGGTGATACTTGGGTTGAAATGAATTTCTATTTTTACTTTTTTTTTTGAAGAATTGCCACAGTTTCACCAACAGAATAGAAGTATTCGCTTTTGCCCATGATCTCCTCAGCATTTATTATTTGATGTCTTGATGACAGTAATTCTTTCTATAAGAGATGAAATCTCAGAGTTGTTTTAATTTGTATTTCTCCAGTGGCCAGAGGTGTTAAACATTTTTTCAAGCATTTATTGGCCATTTTTACATCTTCCCAAAAAATGTCTATTCATTTCAGTTGTCCATTTCCTGATTTGACCTTTGCGGGGGGGGGGGGCTCTGATTTTTTTTTTTTTTTTAGTTCTCTATAATCTATAATCTATAATCGTATTAGTACTCTGTATAACGATAGCACAAATTTTTTTCTCATTCTGCAAGTTGTCTCCTCACTCTATTACTTCCTTTGCTGTGCAGAAGCCTTCTGACATAATTTATTGAGTCTTGATGTTATTTCCTGCACAAATAGGATTCTGCTCAGGAAGTCCTTGCCTTTGCCTACATCTTCAAGAGTCTGACCTATTTATCTTCTAGAGGATTGTTTCTGTTTTAATACCTAGATATTTGCCCCACTTTGATTTTAGTTTGTGTATGATGAGAGGTATAGGTCCAGTTTCAACCTTCTGCATTTGTACAGTCTTCCCAGCATCGTTTGTTAAAGAGGCTGTTTTTCCTCTAGTGTATACTTAGTCTCCTTTGTCAAAGATCAGATAGCTCAGGATGCCGGGGCTTTTACTGCATCTGCTACTCTATGCCATTGGTATGTATCTGTTTTTGTGCCCCTATAATGCTGTTTTATCACTGTGGCTTTGCAATATAACTTGAAAATAGGATTGTGATGCTTCTTACTTTGTTCCTGTTTCCCAGGATTGCTTTTGCTTTATCTTCTGGTTTGATATGAATTTTAAGATTGTTTTCTCTTACTCTGTGAGGAATACTGCTGGTATTTTGATTATGATTACACCAAAAATCTGTATACCATTTTGGCTTGTATGGTCATTTTTACAATACTAGAGATAACTGTCCAGGAAAATTTCCTGATATCCTCTTCAAACCTCCTTCACTAGATTAGTATACTTTTCATAATGGAGGTCTTTCACTTCTTTTGTTAATGCCTAAGTACTTAATTTTTCTTGAAGCTGTTTTTTTTTTTTAATTGGTACCAGGAATCAAACTCACGACTCAGCACTTGCAAGGCAGACACTTATACTGCTGAGCTAAATCCCTAGCCCCTCTTGAAGCTGTTCTGAGTGGCATTGTTTTCCTAAAGTTTGACTTTTCCCTTTCCTATATATATCCTTATTATTTCTTTCTCCCCTGCCTAATTATTCTAGCTAAAGTTTCAAGTACTATATTGAACCAAAGTGGTAACAGTGGACATAATTGTCTTATTCTTGATTTTAGAAAGTTTTCAGTTTTTCCCCACTCAATATGATATTGGGAGTAGGTTTGTCACAAATAGCTTTTATCAGATTGAAATAAGGTTCTTTTATTCCTATTAAAAAAATTATCATGAACAGATACTGGATTTTGTGAAAGGCTTGCTCTATGTCTACTGAGATGATCGTATGTGTGATCTTTGCTCTTGCTTCTGTTTGGCATACATTACATTTATTTATTTGCATATGTTGAACCATCCTACAGTATTTGAGATGAATACTCCTTGGTCATGATATATGATCTTTTCAATGATTTTTTACATTCTATTTGCCCATATCTCATTGAAGATTTTTGAACCTATGTTCATTAAAGAGACTGGCTTGTACTATTTTTAGTTAAATCCTTATCTAGTTTTTGAATCAAGGTGATGCTAGCTTCCAGGAATGAGTTTGGCAGTACTCTTTCCCTTTATATCAAAGAATTTAAGGAGTATTGGCATTATACCTTCCATGAAGTTTATGTAGAATTCTCAAAGGAATCCATCGGATCCCAGGTTTTTCTTAGCTGGTCAGTTTTTTATTACTGACTCAATTTTATTTCCCATTATTGGATTATTCAGGGCTTAAAAAATCTTTTTAGTTCAGTTTTATTAACTCACATATATTTAGGAAACTGTCCATTTCTTCTGGATTCTACAATTTATTAGAATATAGGTTTTTGAAGTAGTTATTGCTAGTAATCTTTTGGATTTCATCAGTGTCCACTCTGATTTCACCTTTTTAATTTCTAATTGATAAACATATTTTTTTCTTTTTTTGTAAAATTAGTGGAGGATTTGTCTATTTAATCTTTTGAAGAGCCAGCTTATTGATTCTTTTTTATTTTCATTAATTTCATTAATTTCCACTCTGATTTTTATAATTTCCTTCCTTTTAATAGCTTTGGAGTTGAATTGTTCTGGTTTTGCTAAGTCCATGAAGTATATCATTAGGTTATTAATTTTTGTTTCTGATGTGAGCATTCATAGTTATGAACTTCCAACTTAGGACTATTTTCAACAAGTTCTAGAAGTCTTGTGTCTTACATAGTACGATAAAAAACATGGTGAATTCTGCTGCAAAATGTCATATAGTGGAAAAGCACTTTCATAAAAACATTATAGGGTGTTCACATGCACCTTATTTACTGTATAAGTACCATGTAACTATACTATACCATGTAACTATACTTCCCCAAAGTCAAAACGACCATGAGAAGTAGACATTTTGTTTATTTTATTTATTTATTTATTTATTGGTACTAGAAATTGAACTCAGGACCTTGCTCTTGCCAGGCAGGTGCCTGTACTGCTGAGCTAAATCCCCAGCCAAGGTAAACATTTTGAATTGAAGTAGTTACAGAAGCACAGCCTAAAACACAAAAGAGGAACCTCCATGTCAGCTTTACAAACTGGCAAGAATGAAGGACAAACATTTTGAGGGATATTAGTAGCAACATATCTTTTACAATAATACATTTTTCAAGAATTTAATTTCACCATATTTTTCAATCATACCGCATGTGGTGAGTCTCTTCACTGACACAGCCAAATCTCATATACCTTAGAAGTGTTCTTTTCTACTTTCCTACCTAATAAATACAAATATAATTATTACTTAGCTGTTAGAATACTCTATTCTCATTCTGGTTAACTTTTCCAATTTTTGGTATTTAGGCAAACATATTTAGGAAACACACAGCATTTTAACTCAAAAAACTATCATCTAACTTTCCTGTTTCCATGATCCTACCTCTGCAATGTCATCTGCACTGGTGAAGGAAAAACTATGGCCGGCTAGTTGATAGGCCTGCATCTCAATTGCATCCAGCTTGGCTTGCATGACGTGCTTCTGGCTTTCACACTCCACAGCACTGAAGCCAATTCCATTTAATTCTAGCAAGGCCAAGCAATACTGAGAAGGCATTTCCACCTTGTAGAAAATATCTGAAAGAAAACAGTAACAATAAATTGTTAGTTCATCACCTATGTGACTGGTGGTCAGCATTACCTAAACTAAGTAGAATTGGGCTCCAACAATCCAGAGCTGCTTCCCAAGCTGTCCTTCAGCATCCAGTGTCCTGAGAAGATCCTCAAACCAACAACAAAAGGTGGCAAGGTTTGGTCACTCAAATACTGCACTACTGTGCTTGTCGATAGAATAGAAGAGCTGGCAATCGTGTCAAGATTCTAGATTATATTATTCTTCTCCCATGATCATGCTTCTGGCTTCTACTCTTACAAAGAGTAAGGCAGCCCACCTTATTTGCTGAACAAACTAAAAAGGATTAATTCTCTTAAATTTTTTCCAATATTCCTGGTCCCACAGTATACACATTTCAAAGAACTATGGATGTTTTATATTTCCAGTGCTTATCAGAGAGTAAAGCAATAAATTCCCAAAATAAAAATAAGTATTTTTATATCTCCTGATATTTCTCAACTGAGCAGGGATTCTAAACCAGTTTTCCCAGAATTCCGCAGATGCTTGATAAAAAGGATGGAATTAACAGACACTGCATGGACTCAGGCAGCTTATTCACTGGCTCTCTTGGTAAGCGCCCCGGTGAGAACCATTACCTGCGAGCCTACTGCCACATGGGCTGAAAATCAAGCACCCTTCCCCTGCCCACCCCCTCCCCACTTAGCTACTGGGGATAGATGTCTCAGCATCTCTTGGGAGGATGACCATATGCAGTATAGCAAATATGGGGGATTTTCTTCTATCTTCTGTTTGAAGGCATAGGTTGTTTTCACAGTTTTGTTATGTTTCTTTTGCTCTACTCAGTATTCTCAATTGGTTTTATAATGTTCTATTTTTTTGTTTGATTTTACAATATGCAATTGACTGGACAGCTACTGTTAAGTTAAAGAGATATACCATAGTACATATTACTACTATCCCAGTATCCTACTGTAAAATCCTGTGCCAATTTCACTGCATTGTCTCGATTGGCTTTGTTCTGTCTTGTGCTGCTGCATTTTTACTACTTTCAAAATAAAATTTAAAAAAAAAGAGACAGACACAACATGCTCTGTGTGTCAATATCTATATACTGTTTTTGGATATTTATGATGATTATTAGTATAATAAAGGCTCTACGAAGACTTCTGAAAAAAGCTACTTTAACTGAAAGTTTTAAAGCTAACCATTACTTAGTATAGAACTTATTCATGTCCTAAAAAATAAGTATCCATTGAATGTACTGTTGCAAATGCTGTCTTTAATCATTAAGAAAAAAATCCACACTGAAGACTTCAGCTTCCAATAGACTGGGTCATCAAGACTCAGAGCAATGCTAGTCTGCCCTGCTCAGCCCCACATATAACACATGTTGGCTTTATCATCAGGAGAGCTCTCCAGGGACACCCACAAGCTCCATCAAAGGCGAAAATAGAAATGAAAGACACTGGACTCTAATACTAAGCAAGTAGAGTCTGGCTTTAGGGGCTGGAGCCACAGTAGAAATTCATGTCACATGGGGTTCAGTGAAATGAAGTTCAGCCTGCATAGTAGCACGTGGAGAAGCACAGAGTGAGTGGATGATAGGGGCGGCAGGAAGGAGCACGGCTGTCATGAATCAAAGCTTAAGGAGACACAGATCTCGGAAACAAAAGAGAAAGGACTGATTCCCCAACTTGGTTCCCCAACTTGGTTCCACAACAAAACTCTCTGAAAAGGCTAATGTGATCCTTTGATGTGTTACGACCTGGTAACCAGGAAAGGCAAGAGCAAAAGCTTTGTAGAGAAAGCCTTTTCTCACATTAGTCCTGCAAGGCTCCAGTGATCAAATCCTGTACAAACCCACAGAAACAGAAATATATGCAAGGTAATAGAGAAGTAATACTTACATGTGAAATAAAGGAAATAGAAAATAAAAAGATATAGAAGGCAAATTCTGTCTTGCACACACAGATACATACATACAGTTATATGTGCATCCTACATACGTATAATCATTTCTTTTCTTCCTTTTTTCCTTTACCCTATTCCAGTTTTCTTTCTTTTTGAGCACTTTCTTTCTTTTTCATTATTACAATATCTATTACACATTTTGGATCTCATTATTCTTTCATTTTTTTTACACTAAGGAGACAATATAATATTTATAAACATGAGTCTGATCTATTTCACCTATAAGTATGGTCTCAAGTTGCCTCCATTTTCCTATAAAAGCTTCAAGATTATCCTTTTATAGCTGAGTAATATTCCATTGTCTAAACATACCACATTCTTTTTATCCATGCTGCGGTTGATGGGCATTTTGGTATGTATGTATATGTGTGCAAGATAGATAACTATACTACTAATACCTGTTAGTTCATCAAAAAGGACAGTGTGTACCATTGTTTTATTTCTGATCATTTTTTATGTCTAGATCTTGTAACCTGAACAACTACTTCTAAGATAACAATATGCAATATATTAACTAGTGTTTTTTTAAAAATGCAAATTCTGGTAGTTTGAAAAGACTGAAAAAGTGGAAACAATTCTAGTGAAATTAAATAATAATATAAAAGAAGAAAGTAAATAAAGTGGAGATAGAAAAAATATATACATACAAGACTAAAAGATGCTATTAGCAAGAGGTTTATGCCAATAAATTTGAAAATTTAGATGAACCAGATTCTTAAAATACATGTGGCTTACCAAAATATAATAAAACATACTTAAATGATCAGATGTACTTAGTTATAAAATTGAAGTTGTACTTATTATCTTTCCACAAAGAAACCACTTATAGGCAAATTCGACCAAAATTTCAATGACCACATAATCTCAATGAAAGGGGCTGAGGATTTAGCTCAGCGGCATAAGCGCCTGCCTTGCAAGCGCATGGTCGAGAGTCTGATCCCCAGTACCGATTAAAAAAAAAAATCAGTGTCTGTAATCTCAATGAAAGATAAACTACAGAATAAAACTGCTTACATTCTGCTTATTCATATCATTTCATGAAACTGGAATAATTGTGTTACTAAAAACAAAGCCAGCAAAAATTATACTTAATTATACTTATTCCAATGAATTGGAAAGCTGAGACAATATGATTTGTACATCATTATTATACTTTGGTACTTGGTATATTGATTTTATTTATAGTTTTTGTTTTTATTTTTTGGTACTGAGGATCAAACTCAACCTCATGTTTAACAGGCAGGCACTGTGCCACTGAGCTATATCCCGGTTACTTTGCTATTTAGAAAACAGTTACAAAGTCATACCAGATCAAAGGTTAGCACAATCTTGACATGGGGACTATTCCTATGCCATGAAAGAGCAATGCCACACTCAGAGAAACTTGTTCAGACATACAGGAGACATGTACACATATAAGAATACTTCTATAGAATAATTATATAAAACAGGAGCTTGCAGAGGAATCAAAGTGAGAGGGTGTTACTCGGGAACCAGGAGGAAACTGGCAAGAGTGGAAAAAACAAAAAAATAATTAAATGATACAGAAGGAACAGAACACATTGTGGAAGAAAGTAGGGACCTGTCACGGAGTGTAACCCTGGCAGTGTAGAAAATGAATGGCTACTTGGAGATAAGCTTGGTTCAGTCATCCAGAGTTCAGAGGGGATTCACCCAAGAGCACTTGGAGTTAGAGTCCAGGAGTAGCACCGAGGCCAAGAACTCTCATTTAGAACACATAACAGTGTAGGAGAAAAAAAGAGAAGAAAAGCAGCATGGACAAGAAGCTTTCTCACGGCGAGGCGGTTTTCTTGGGGAAGGACAACAGCCAGCACGACACATCTCACTTATCTGAACTTGTGTAACTATTCCACTCCTTGACTGCCACCTTACATTCCCAGCAGGAGCAGAGACACGTGTTGTTTGAGCTCTGTTCCTTATTCCTAAAATGGTAGAAAACTTCCATTTTAAGAAAGTTTTGTTTTGTTTTGTTTTGTTTTTTGCTGACTACCTCCTTCTGTTCACTTCCTCCTCTCCCCATTTTTATTCCTTTATTTTTCTTTTTTCTCTTATGCCTGCATGTGTGTGCATGCATTTGTGCTTCACTTCCTCTTGTCTTTTGCTTCTATTTATAGAGTAAAGGAACTCTCCTTGTGCTTATTCCTTCCATGTTTACCCATGTCTTTAAACTGACTTCTTTCTCCTGTTTCTTATCCTTTCTTGTTTTTCTTTCATTTGCCTCTCTTTAATTTTTTCTCTAATCTTTACATGAATCATAGAATCACTTCACATCTGCATTTTCACTGCCAATTTTGGACCACTTTTCCCTGCTATCCCCATCTAAACATATAACGTACCTCCCCCACAATTAGGATCCTCACCTCCCTCTTATTTCTTCCTTCCAATGCCACATAGTAGAAGATTTAAATGATAAAACAAAACAAGATTTTTTTCTTCTTTCTTTTACCCATCTCTAGCATTTTAGCATTATCTAGTCTCCAGAACCCTGGGCTTTAAATAATTGATTATATAAAATTACTTTTGAATTCTTTCCTTTTTATTTTTACCACTAGAGGTGATATAGCTACAGAATTTCATGTATAATTGCTGTGGGTCTGTACTCGGGCAGTTATGCTTACAACACAACCAAACAATTCTTCTCTACGATAAAGGGAGATCTAAATTGGGTCTCATAATATGTTCTCATCTTGCCCTGATAAATACCACTACAACCGATTAACCTGCTAGTACTGTAGGTGATTTGATTGCACAGGAATATTCCTGATTCAGTAGATGATTTCGTGCCAGTGAATCTGTTTGCCAAGTCCTCTATCACACCAAAGGAAAGGAATAGCAAGAGTTCCTAATCCAAGAATTTGGACTGGATCACAATCAGGAAGAATGCCTGCAACCTCATTGAAAGAAGTCCTGAGTCTGAGGTAGGTTCAGTACCACAGTGGCAGGATCAGAGGAGATATTGGGGTGTGAGCATTCAAAACTCTCTAGCAAAGAAGCTATATGTGAATCACAT